CACAGAGAAAAATACATCTAGATAGAGAGAGAGAGAAGGCTTAAGGATGAGTCAACCTGAGGTCAGTATAATTTCCTTCCTGTGTGTTTAGGCTCCAGGGGAGAGAAGCTCACTACAGGAGGTTGGAAGGGGTGTTCGCCATCTCCAGGCATCAGCTGACTCCTCTCTCTCTCAATTCAATTCAAAGGGCTTTATTGGCATGGGAAATATTTTACATTGCCAAAGCAAGTGAAATAGATAATAAACAAAAGTGAAATAAACAATCAGAAATTAACAGTAAACATTATACTCACAAACGTTTCAAAGGAATAGAGACATTTCAAATGTCATATTATTGCTATGAACAGTGTTGTAACAATGTGTTGAAGTACAAAAGGGAAAATAAATAAACATAAATATGGGTTGTATTTACAATGGTGTTTGTTCTTTACTGGTTGCCTTTTTCTTGTGGCAAAAGGTCACAAATCTTGCTGCTGTGATGGCACACTGTGGTATTTCACCCAATAGATATGGGAATTTATTAAAATTGGATTTGTTTTAGAATTCTTTGTGGGTCTGTGTAATCTGAAGGAAATATGTGTCTCTAATATAGTCATACATTTGGCAGGAGGTTAGGAAGTGCAGCTCAGTTTCCACCTCATTTTGTGGGCAGTGTGCACATAAGCCTGTCTTCTCTTGAGAGCCAGGTCTGCCAATGGTGGCCTCTCTCAATAGCAAGGCTATGCTCACTGAGTCTGTACATAGTCAAAGCTTTCCTTAATTGTGGGTCAGTCACAGTGATCAGGTATTCTGCCACTGTGTACTCTTTGTTTAGGGCCAAATAGCATTCTAGTTTGCACTGTTTTTTGTTTGTTAATTCTTTCCAATGTGTCAAGTAATTATCTTTTTGTTTTCTCATCATTTGGTTGGGTCTAATTGTGTTGCTGTCCTGGGGCTCTGTTTGTGTTTGTGAACAGAGCCACAGGACCAGCTTGCTTAGCGGACTCTTCTCCAGGTTAATCTCTGTAGTTGATGGCTTTGTTATGGAAGGTTTGGGAATCGCTTCCTTTTAGGTAGTTGTAGAATTTAATGGCTCTTTTCTGGATTTTGATAATTAAAGGGTATTGGCCTAATTCTGCTCTGCATGCATTATTTGGTGTTTTTACATTGTACACTGAGGATATTTTTGCAGAATTCTGAATGCAGTCTCAATTTGGTGTTTGTCCCATTTAGTGAATTCTTGGTTGGTGAGCGGACCCCAGACCTCACAACCATAAAGGGCAATGGGTTCTATAACTGATTCAAGTATTTTTTAGCTAGATCCTAATTGGTATGTCGAATTTTATCTTCCTTTTGATGGCATAGGCCCTTATTGCCTTGTCTCTCAGACCGTTCACAGCTTTGTGGAAGTTACATGTGGCACTGATGTTTAGGCAGATTGACGTATAGTTATTTGTATGCTCTAGGGCAACGGTGTCTAGATGGAATTTGTATTTGTGGTCCTGACAACTGGACCTTTTTTTGGAACACCATTATTTTTGTCTTACTGAGATTCACTGTCAGGGCCCAGGTCTGACGGAATCTGTGCAGAAGATCTAGGTGCTGCTGTAGGCGCTCCTTGGTTGGGGACAGAAGCACCAGATCATCAGTAGACATTTGACTTCAGATTCTAGTAGGGTGAGGCCGGGTGCTGCAGACTGTTCTAGTGCCCTCGCCAATTCGTTGATATACAGTATATGTTGAAGAGGGTGGGGCTCAAGCTGCATCCCTGTCTCACCCTACGGCCCTGTGGAAAGAAATGTGTGTGTTTTCTGACAATTGCAACCACACACTTGTTGTTTGTGTACATGGATTTTATAATGTTGTATGTTTTTCCCCGAACACCGCTTTCCATCAATTTGTGTGTATAGCGCTCTCGCTCTTGCAGTAGGAAGGTTTATTTTTCTTCTTCCAGTGATCTAGATGATGAATGGAGGGAGAGAGTTTTCCCTCTCCTATTCTCCTCCTCTCAGGAGGTTGGCTCATTTGTATTCTGCCCCTCTCTCCTTTCTATGTCATCTCTGCTATGGGAAGTGACAGTACATGAGCACTGGTTAGTGAGCATACAGTATACAGCCCCCCTCTCCTACACCCCCCTACTGGTCACCTTCAAATAGACCTTGCCATCTGGAGTGGACCATCTGGACTGTACCACAGGGTAGCCGGTAGGGGGGTGAGACAAGAGCCCATTCAGGGAAGAAAGGGACGGTTACTGTGAAACGCTCACTGACTGAACTGACTGAACCCTTGACAATGGCTATAGTGTTGAGGTCTGACAGATATGTTCTGTGGTGGTTCACTGGTTGTTAACTGGTGGTTAACTGGGAGTTTCTCCAGGGAATGGTCAGCCATGAAGAGGTGTTAAATTATTCATTGAATGAGATGTAGGTTTCACCGTTTAGTCTTTAAACACACATATACCACAGACAGAGATACCAGCCAGTACCGCAGTGATATACAATTATACCCCTTTCACAATATTTGTTTCACACTATCTTTTCACATCGTCCTTTTCATCACAACAAAAACCCACAAACACAAGGTGAAGACACACAGTTTAAATATGGCTCCCAATCAGAGATAACGAGCCGACAGCTGACACTCGTTACCTCCGATTGGGAGTCACTCAATACAAAGAAATACAACAACCTAGAAATAGACACAACAGAACTACCAACATAGAAATAAACACATAGAATGAACACACCCTGGCTCAACATAATGAGTCCCAGAGCCAGGGTGTGACAGTACCCCCCCCCTAAAGGCGCGGACTGCGACCGCGCCTCAACTAAACAAAACAGGGGAGGGCTGGGCGGGCATACCTCCTCGGCGGCGGTTCTGGCTCCGGCCTTGACCACCACCCTCCGATACACCCCCCAAAGTACCCCTGGTCCTGTCTAGCCCCGCTGGCCGGAGCCGGACTGACGACACGCGCCCCTGGCTTGGTGCGTGGAACAGGAATGGACCGGAATGGGCTGGCGACGCGCACCACAGACTTGGTGCGGAGAGCAGGAACGAGCCGGACAGGGCTGACGACGCACCCCGTAGGCTTGGTGCGTGGAGGAGGAACGGGCCTTACCAGGCTGACGACTCGCACCCCTGGCTTTGTGCGTGGAGGAGGCACGGGCCTTACCAGGCTGACGACTCGCACCCCTGGCTTTGTGCGTGGAGGAGGAACGGGCCTTACCAGGCTGACTTCTCGCACCCCTGGCTTTGTGCGTGGAGGAGGAACGGGCCTTACCAGGCTGACTTCTCGCACCCCTGGCTTAGTGCGAGTGGCAGGAACAGGCCGGACCGGGCTGGCGACGCGCACCGTAGGTTTGGTGCGAGTGGCCGGAACAGGCCGGGTCGGGCTGGCGACGCGCACCGTAGACTTGGTGCGGGTGGCAGGAACAGGCCGGACCGGGCTGGCGACGCGCACCGTAGGTTTGGTGCGAGTGGCAGGAACAGGCCGGGTCGGGCTGGCGACGTACACCGTAGGCTTAGTACGTGGAGCAGGAACCGGCCGGGCTGGACTGGCGACGCACACCGTGGGTCTGGTACGTGGAGCAGGAACAGGTCGGGCTGGGCTGGCCACGCACACCGTAGGCTTTGTACGTGGAGCAGGAACCGGCCGGGCTGGACTGGCGACGCACACCGTGGGTCTGGTACGTGGAGCAGGAACAGGTCGGGCTGGGCTGGCCACGCACACCGTAGGCTTTGTACGTGGAACAGGAACCGGCCGGGCTGGACTGGCGACGCACACCGTGGGCTTGATGCGTGGAGTAGGAACAGGCCGGTCCGTACTGGGAACACACACCACTGGCCTTAACCGGGGATCAGGAACGGGCCGGACCGGACTGGTAACACACCTCAGTCTCTTACGCCGTGCCTCAACTACTTCCCTCCCTCTACTCGCCAATGGCTCCCGTAATCCGGTAGCCTTCTCTCCACGTCTCCCTGTGGCAGCCTCCTGCTGCCCAGCCGCCCAAGCCATGTGCCCCCCCCAAAAAACTTTTTGGGGTTGCCTCTCGTCCTTCCGACGATGACCCTGCTGACGCCGTTGCTCCTCTCTCGCCAGGGCCTTGATCCTCCCCCAAGGTCCCTTGCCCCCGAGCATGTCCTCCCAGGACCACGATTTGCCCACCTGGGCCATCGCCAGCCTCTCGATCTCCTTACCCGGCGCTTCCTCCCATGTCCAGTCTCCTTGCTCCTGGACACGCTGCTTGGTCCTTTTTTGGTGGGTTTTTCTGTCACGATCGTCTGGGTAAGGAGTAGTAGACCAAGGCGCAGCGTGTGAAATAAACATGACTTTATTTAATTAAAGCACGAAAACCAAAACAAAACACGATTCATGAAGTCCACGGTTAAACATACCGTCACGGAACAAAAACCCACAACCCTAAGGTGAACATTGACAGTTTAAATATGGCTCCCAATCAGAGATAACGAGCCGACAGCTGACACTCGTTACCTCCGATTGGGAGTCATTGACCAAACCAAGAAAACACAACCAAAGACAACCAACCAAAACACAACAAAACGAACACACCCTGGCTCAACATACAAAGTCCCGGAGCCAGAGCGTGACACCAGTATGAAGAAAAAAATAATGTATGCACTCACTAACTGTAAGTCGCTCTGGATAAGAGCGTCTGCTAAATGACTAAAATGTAAAAAATGTAAATTTCCAGTGACTATGGTGAATGCATAACCAGGCTCAGTACAGTTTGATTAGGCTCAGATAGGTTCGGCTCAGTAGTGTGAAAAGCCCTTTATAGAAGGAACACACAAAACCTCTGAGAATGCACTAATTGAACCAATTTATCTGTCTGTAACTTCTGTCCCTCTCCCTCTCTCTCTACAGGGATTGAACTGGGCCTGCCAGGCTGGCGGTTCTCCATGACCATGGTGTCTGTATATGTCTAACCTCTCTCGCCTGCCTGCCTCCCTCCCTCTCTCTCTCTCTCTCTCTACACTTCCCCCTTCTCGCTCCCCCATCCTCTCTGGCTCTTTCTCCCCCCACTCTCTCTCTCTCTCTACAGGGATTGAGTTGTGCCTGCCAGGCTGGCGTTTCTCCATGACCATGGTGGCCAGTTTCCTCATGGTGGGCGGGCAGCTGGTGATGCCCGGGGTGGCGGCTCTGTGTCGTGATTGGCCCGCCCGGGATGATTGGCAGGTCCTGCAGATCATCATCATCTGCCCCTTCGTCCTCATGCTGCCCTACATCTGGTAAGGAGCCACGCCCAAATGTCTTCCATGTCACCACTATTCTGTTGAGACATTCATCCTATAGTTAGAGGTTGAAAATGAGAATTACCATGGAGTCCCACCCACTGAGGGGATAGCCACACCCACTTAGGGAGTGGCCCCTCTCACTGATGAAGTAACTCAGCCCACTGAGGGATTCCGCCATGATGTGGGGTTAGAGGTTAAAGACTTGGTCATCAGGACCAGGCTTTGGCTTGTACAGTACACTACACACTGCATGCTCTGTTCAGATCTTCAGACAATACTCTCTTTCTCTCACTTCCCTTCTGTCATTCTCTCTCTCTTTCTCGTGTTTACTTCTCTCTCCCTTCCTTCCTTCCTTTCTTTCTCTCTCCCCTACTCACAACTTATTATCTTTCTCTCCCTACTACCCTCCACTCTCCCCTACCCTCTCTCTGTCTCTCTGACTCCCCCTCCCTCTCTCTATGTAGGATCTTCCCTGAGTCCCTGCGTTGGCTCCTGGCCACCCAGCACTACCAACGCTCTAAAGACATGATGCTCCGCATCGCCAGGAAGAACCAGGTCGACATGACAACCGAGCCCAGTGGCGTTCTAGCAGGTGAAGGAGATGGAGAGACAGGGAGGGGAGAGGTAGAGAGACAGAGTAAATGGAGAGATGGAGAGACAGAGAGGGAGAAGACCCTGCATGTCAAAGAATAACCACGTGTTCCGTCCATGGCCGCTACACAGATGCCTGGTTTGCAGCTGATCAGTATATACATATGGGATGTCTCACGTAGCCTCAAAAACAACACACCATTGTCAATTGCATTTACACTGATCATATTGTTGTTATAAACAACACGTAACCGCAGGTCTCTGATTTCAGTGATGAAATGTGTATGCAATGGATTCAGTCAGTCAGACACAGTGACAACACACACACACTATGCACATACGCGTACATTGTTATATGTGCAACTGCAGGGCTCTAGTTTCATATGATGAAATACATCTGCAAGGCTTGATGGCAGACACATACACTCTCCATGAGAAATGAGTTTAACGCTGGGAGCAGATTAATACAGCTGGATCAATAAAATAACGTGTTTTATTTCAGATCTCATACACACACATCAACCCACAGAAGACCTTTACTTTAGAGTCTGCTGGCTCCATGTGTGTGTGTCTGTGTGTGTCTGTTGTTTCCCTGCCAGTGTAAAGGTCTCACACTGTTCTATCTCACCATCAGAGCTGGAGCATGAGCTGCATAAGAAGCCAAAGAGGACCTGCATTGTCAAGATGACCAGCACCAGAAACCTGTGGAAGAACATCGTCGTGCTCTGTGTCAACTCGTAAGTCTGTCTGTGTGTGTGCGCATCTGTATAATCGTATCAAAGGCAGTGGGTGATGTGCCAAACAGAGCTTGCATTTCATATGAGCTAGGTTTCCCATTGAGAGACCTGAAGACAAGGCTGTGTGCCGGTACAGTGTGTGGCTATGACAAGGCTGTGTGCCGGTACAGTGTGTGGCTATGACAAGGCTGTGTGCCGGTACAGTGTGTGTGTGGACATGTTTAACCATACTTGAAGACCAGACGTCCCCACAAGAATAGTAAACGAACAAACATTTGACCAACTGGGGACATTTTGTTAGTCCCCACAAGGTCAAATGCTATTTCTAGGGGGTTTAGGGTTAAGGTTAGAATTAGTGTTAGTGTTAGGGTTTAGGGCTGTCCCCGACAAAAAATAATATTGGTCGGCCGAGAGTTTCTTCGACGAATCGATTGGTCAAAATTTTAAAATGTGTATTTTTCCATATATAGACACACCCTATGTTTGAATCAAATCAACTATATGTAGGCTACTGAGCTTGTCTGATGCTTTACGCACTGCGATTAAAAATGAAGACACAAATTACTAAAGTGGGAGCCAGAGATCAAGATAGCCTAACCAGAAAAAAAAACATTTTCCCGACCCTCCTCCTCCCGCTGCTGCTGGCCTTCACAGATTCTGAGTTACACTCCTGAAGTTGCCGGTATAGGCTACACCAGCGGTCGGCAACCTTTTCCATTTGAAGTGCCAAGTTATCATACCATTTCTACTAGGGGTGTAACGATTCGTTTTAACAACGATTCGATTTGTATCACGATTCGTGGTTGTCGATACGATTCAAGGACGATATTGGTTCATTTAGAACGATACGATCCGAAACGATTCAGTGACTTGAAATCGATTCAGTAACCTTTTAGCCAAAAATTCAACCAGTGTGACTGAAATAAATACCTGGATACTGGACAGTGCAGGTGAAGTTTCCTAGATTCCTGTTTCTTGTAAGGACCGCAATGGTGGCTTGATAATTTCTCGCTCGTCGGCTTCTCCTCTGTCGTCCGCCATGCTATGTTTTGTTGTCTTTGCGCCTTTGCGCTGCTGCTGGCGCGGGGCGATGACATCACGGATAGGCAGACTGAATCGAGTAATGTTTAAAGCCTTTATCATTAAAAGTGCTAAGAAAAAACATCCATATAAAGTCTGACGTGCTTAAATCCAATGGGTTATTTCCTAGTATCGATACAATCGATTTATTACATTTTAAAACGATGTTAGATTGATATATGTTGTCCAAAAGGCCAACTCGCCGAGCACAGATCGATGTAGTTGGATCATAGGAATATAAATCGATACATCGATGTAGTAGATGGATCGTTACACCCCTAATTTCTACTGATCTGCATGCCAGTTATGATTTTCATATGCACGTTTTCGTGGAACAGTTTCACTTTATTTATAATAAAGTCTTCATTTCTCAAAAACAATGTCATGTACTTAATACAAATTATATCTAAATGAAAATGATACAAATCTAAAAGTAACTTCTATTGCCATTGCCAATATGTAAAAGTAGCCTACATAAAGCCAACAAATAAAACCATTGCAGGCTGCAGGTAGAAAATATCCTGATAAAAATAAACATCCTATAAATCACATTGGCTATTCATGGCCTGTCTGCAAGGAACTTGAAACATTGTATCAACTATTAACTTGGTCCAGCCAGAAGCTCCTGCTAGCAAACTTGCAAAATATTCTGGGCTTTCAGAGTTTCCTGCTCCAGTGAGCTCCAGACAGACACAGCTGTAGGCTATTTGCGCAAGGGATAAGAAGAAGGCATATTTTATGACGTTTCCATCGGATCAGAGCATGACATTTTTCCCCCTTTCATGCTGAGTGGTTATTGAAAGGGAGAGAGCTGGAAAGATTTCAAATAGGCTATGTTGAGGAACTATTGTCATTCTCAGTGGATGTAAAAACAGACTTCATTTACTTGCTGTTTGAGGCAAGGTGAAAATTACTTAGCTACACACTGATAGTGAGTTAAGACAATCTGAAATACTATCAGATCCCCAAATGGGCACATTTACAATGGCTTGCGAAAGTATTCACCCCCCTTGGCATTTTTCCTATTTTGTTGACTTACAACCTGGAATTAAAATTGATTTTTGGGGGGTTTGTATCATTTGATTTACACAACGTGCCTACCACTTTGAAGATGCAAAATATTTTTTCTTGTGAAACAAACAAGTTGAGCGTGCATAACTATTCACCCCCCCCCCCAAAGTCAATACTTTGTAGAGCCACCTTGTCACGCCCTGGCTCTAAGGACTCTTTTATGTTGAGCCAGGGTGTGTAGAGTCTATGTTTTGTGTTCTTTGTTTCAGTTTCTAGTTCATGGGTATCTATGTTGGCCGGGGTGGTTCTCAATCAGAGGCAACGAGAATCAGCTGTTGCTTGTTGTCTCTGATTGGGAACCATACTTAGGCAGCCTGTTTGGCACAGTGTATTGTGGGATCTTGTTCCGTGTTGGTTTGTGTATGTACCCAAGGACTTCACGTATCATTTTGTTGTTTTTGTTCGTGTGGTGAAATATAAATAAAAGATGTTCGCATTCCACGCTGCGCATTGGTCCACTCCTTTCGACGATCGTGACACACCTTTTGCAGCAATTACAGCTGCAAGTCTGTATGAAAAATGTATGCACTCACTAACTGTAAGTCGCTCTGGATAAGAGCGTCTGCTAAATGACTTAAATGTAAGTCTCTTGGGGTATGTCTCTATAAGCTTGGCACATCAAGCCACTGGGATTTTTGCCCATTCTTCAAGGCAAAACTTCTCCCTCTCCTTCAAATTGGATGGGTTCCGCTGGTGTACAGCAATCTTTAAGTCATACCACAGATTCTCAATTGGATTGAGGTCTGGGCTTTGACTAGGCCATTCCAAGACATGTAAATGTTTCCCCTTAAACCACTCAAGCGTTGCTTTAGCAGTAGGCTTAGAGTCATTGTCCTGCTGGAAGGTGAACCTCCATCCCAGTCTCAAATCTCTGGAAGACTGAAACAGGTTTCCCTCAAGATTTTCCCTGTATTTAGCGCCATCCATCATTCCTTCAATTCTGACCAGTTTACATTTTACATTTTACATTTTAGTCATTTAGCAGACGCTCTTATCCAGAGCGACTTACAGTTAGTGCATACATAATTTTTTATATTTTTCATACTGGACCCCCATGGGAAAGTTTCCCAGTTTCCCAGTCCCTGCCGATGAAAAACATCCCCACAGTATGAAAAATGTATGCACTCACTAACTGTAAGTCGCTCTGGATAACAGCGTCTGCTAAATGACTAAAATGTAAAATGTATGATGCTGCCACCACCATGCTTCACTGTGGGGATGATGTTCTCGGGGTGATTAGAGGTGTTGGGTTTGCGCCAGACATAGCGTTTTCCTTGATGGCCAAAAAGCTCAATTTGAGTCTCATCTGACCAAAGTACCTTCTTCCATATGTTTGGGGAGTCTCCCACATGCCTTTTGGCGAACACCAAACGTGTTTGCTTATTTCTTTCTTTAAGCAATGGCTTTTTTCTGGCCACTCTTCCGTAAAGCCCAGCTCTGTGGAGTGTATGGCTTAAAGTGGTCCTATGGACAGATACTACAATCTTCGCTGTGGAGCTTTGCAGCTCCTTCAGGGTTATCTTTGGTCTCTTTGTTGCCTCTCTGATTAATGCCCTCCTTGCCTGGTCCGTGAGTTTTGGTGGACGGCCTTCTCTTGGCAGGTTTGTTATGCTGCCATATTATTTCCATTTTTTAATAATGGATTTAATGGTGCTCCGTGGGATGTTCAAAGTTTTGGATATTTTTTTATAACCCAACCCTGATGTTTACTTCTCCACAACTTTGTCCCTGACCTGTTTGGAGAGCTCCTTGGTCTTCATGGTGCCGCTTGCTTGGTGGTGCCCCTTGCTTAGTGGTGTTGCAGACTCTGGGGCCTTTCAGAACAGGTGTATATATACTGAGATCATGTGGCACTTAGATTGCACACAGGTGGACTTTATTTAACTAATTATGTGACTTCTGAAGGTAATTGGTTGCACCGGATCTTATTTAGGGGCTTCATAGCAAAGGGGGTGAATACATATGCACGCACCACTTTTCCGTTATTTATTTTTGATACTTCTTTGAAACAAGTAATTTTTTTCATTTCACTTCACCAATTTTGACTATTTTCTGTATGTCCATTACATGAAATCCAAATAAAAATCCATTTAAATTACAGGTTGTAATGCAACAAAGTAGGAAAAATGCCAAGGGGGATGAATACTTTTGCAAGGCACTGTTTAGGCCTACATTTGTGCTTAGGCCAGGTAGCCTAGGCCGACTTCTATGTTTAATCAGGTGTTTGTCCTTACTCAAGATTGACAGGAGCGTTCTAAACAAAAGACAATTAATACATTGACAACTCATACATGGAATTAAATAAACCAAAACTTTTTTCTCACAAGTGTAGCCTAGGTTGTGCGCTCTGCAAACAACGTATCCACTCCGACAATGAGAACTGTAAGACTGTAATAATAATATATTGAATGCATTAACAGAAATGATCGTAACCAAACAAACATTGTAGATGATAAATGATGGTAATTAAGAGTAAATGTACTACAGGTGATACTAGTGTGCCTCCACAATGGATTAGTCCACTGAGACAGGCGTGAATCAGACAGGTGAATCGTTATTAAAATATATATTTACCACTGCTCAACAAAAAAAAAACTTGGTCGACCAACAGCTTATCAACCAAACAATCGACCAGTCAACTAAATGGGGTTAGCCCTACCACTATTAGGGTTAGAATTAGGTTTAAGGTTAAGAGCTAGGGTTAGTTTTAGGGTTAGGGTTAGGAGCTAGGGTTAGAGTTAAGGTTAGGTAAGGTTTAGGGAAAATAGGATTTTGAATGGGACTGAATTGTGTGTCCCCACAAGGTTAGTTAAACAAGACTGTGTGTGTGTATAAAATCTCCCTACACCCTCTATATTGATGGCATTTGGTATCCAGCACTGCCTTGCTCTTAGTAATGATGGTGTGTGTGTGTGTAACTGGTGGGATCTGAACCCCACTCTCCCGCTTGGGAAACCACCCACTGGGCACACACTCGTTAAATCAACGTTGTTCCAACCAACATGAAATAGACATTGAATTGACGTCTGAGCCCAGTGGGCAATGTCTTAACCATTAGACCAAGAGAGAATACCCTTCCGCGAGAGAGTCCGACTCACCTCCGCTACGTGTCTCTCTCTCCTCAGGTTGACTGGGTACGGTATCCACCACTGTTTTGCCCGCAGTATGATGGACCCAGAGGCTCCTGTGTCGGCCATGTTTCATGCTGACTACTACACTATGGCCGGAATTGCCGTAGCAACGTGCCTGGCGCTGTGCCCAGCCGTGGCGTTCATGGGTCGTCGGGGTGGACTGCTCACCTTCATGATCATCACCGCCCTGGCATCACTGCTGCAGCTGGGTCTGCTCAACTGTGAGTTGGAGACACACACACACACACATGTTATGCATACACACACACACGCACAAACACACACGATACACACAAATGAAACACACACACACCGATATATAGAAATCCCATCTCTATGAAATAAACATTTAGGTCAACCTTCAGTTTATGAAAGCCCATGTTTTGTCAGATGTTTTAACAAGTGACCAATGCAGGCATCCCCCTCATAGTCCTTCATTCACAAATAGCTCTTTATATGGGAAAACACAAAGCAATAACATCCCATTATAATTTCAATCTGTCATAGACAAATATCATACTCAGATAATGGACTTACAGTATTACAGTGCTTCAGAGAAGTCACTACTAGGAGAATGTCATTTTCTGCATCATTACCTCTGTTCTCTAGTCATTATATCAGATCTACAGTGCCTTGCAAAAGTATTCACCCCACTTGGCGTTTTTCCTATTTTGTTGCATGACAACCTGTAATTTAAATTGATTTGGTTTTCATGTAATGGACATACACAAAATAGTCCAAATTGGTGAAGTGAAATGAAAAAAATAACTTGTTTCAAAACATTCTAAAAAATAAATAACGGAAAAGTGGTGCGTGCATATGTATTCACCCCTTTGCTATGAAGCCCCTAAATGAGATCTGGTGCAACCAATTACCTTCAGAAGTCACATAATTAGTTAAATAAAGTCCACCTGTGTGCAATCTAAGTGTCACATGATCTGCCACATGATCTCTGTATATATACACCTGTTCTGAAAGGCCCCAGGTTCTGCAACACCACTAAGCAAGGGGCACCACCAAGTAAGCGGCACCATGAAGACCAAGGAGCTCTCCAAACAGGTCAGGGACAAATTTGTGGAGAAGTACAGATCAGGGTTGGGTTATAAAAAAATATCCGAAATTTTGAACATCCCACGGAGCACCATTAAATTCATTATTAAAAAATGGAAAGAATATGGCACCACAACAAACCTACCAAGAGAGGGCCGCCCACCAAAACACACAGACCAGGCAAGGAGGGCATTAATCAGAGAGGCAACAAAGAGACCAAAGATAACCCTGAAGGAGCTGAAAAGCTCCACAGCAGAGATTGGAGTATCTGTCCATAGGACCACTTTAAGCCGTACACTCCACAGAGCTGGGCTTTACGGAAGAGTGGCCAGAAAAAAGCCACTGCTTAAAGAAAGAAATAAGTAAACAAGTTTGGTGTTCGCCAAAAGGCATGTGGGAGACTCCCCAAACATATGGAAGAAGGTACTTTGGTCAGATGAGACTAAAATTGAGCTTTTTGGCCATCAAGGAAATCGCTATGTCTGGCGCAAACCCAACACCTCTCATCACCCCAAGAACACCATCCCCACAGTGAAGCATGGTGGTGGCAGCATCATGCTGTGGGGATGTTTTTCATCGGCATGGACTGAGAAACTGCTCAGAATTGAAGGAATGATGGATGGTGCTAAATTCAGGGAAATTCTTGAGGGAAACCTGTTTCAGTCTTCCAGAGATTTGAGACTGGGACGGAGGTTCACCTTCCAGCAGGACATTGACCCTAAGCCTACTGCTAAAGCAACACTTGAGTGGTTTAATGGGAAACATTTAAATGTCTTGGAATGGCCTAGTCAAAGCCCAGACCTCAATCCAATTGAGAATCTGTGGTATGACTTAAAGATTGCTGTACACCAGCGGAACCCATCCAACTTGAAGGAGCTGGAGCTTTTTTGCCTTGAAGAATAGGCAAAAATCCCAGTGGCTAGATGTGCAAGCTTATAGAGACATACCCCAAGAGACTTGCAGCTGTAATTTCTGAAAAAGGTGGCTCTACAAAGTATTGACTTTGGGGGGGTGAATAGTTATGCACGTTCAAGATTTCTGTTTTTTTGTCTTATTTCTTGTTTGTTTCACAATAACAAATATTTTGCATCTTCAAAGTGGTAGGCATGTTGTGTAAATCAAATGATACAAACCCCCCCCCCCAAAATCAATTTTAATTCCAGGTTGTAAGGCAACAAAATAGGAAAAATTTCAAGGGGGGTGAATACTTTCGCAAATGAAAAAGTGTTTGCCCCCTTCCTGATTTGTTATTTGTTTGCATGTTTGTCACACTTAAATGTTTCAGGTCATCAAACAAATGTAAATATTAGTCAAAGATAACACAAGTAAACACAAAATGCAGTTTTGAAATGAAGGTTTTTATTATTAAGGGAAAACAAAATCCAAACCTACATGGCCCTGTGTGAAAAAGTGTTTGCCCCACCTGTTATAACACAACTCAACTGTGGTTTATCACACCTGAGTTCAATTCCTCTAGCCACACCCAGGCCTGATTACTGCCACACCTGTTCTCAATCAAGGAGTCACTTAAATAGGACCTGCCTGACAAAGTGAAGTAGACCAAAAGATCCTCAAAAGCTAGACATCATGCCGAGATCCAAAGAAATTCAGGAACAAATGAGAAAGAAAGTAATTGAGATACATCAGTCTGGAAAAGGTTATAAAGCCATTTCTAAAGCTTTGGGACTCCAGCGAACCACAGTGAGAGCCATTATCCACAAATGGCGATAACATGGAACAGTGGTGAACCTTCCCAGGAGTGGCCGGCCGACCAAAATTACCCCAAGAGCGCAGCGACGACTCATCCAAGAGGTCACAAAAGACCCCACAACAACATCCAAAGAGCTGCAGGCCTCACTTGCCTCAGTTAAGGTCAGTGTTCATGACTCCACCATAAGAAAGAGACTGGGTAAAAATGGCCTGCATGGCAGAGTTCCAAGACGAAAACCACTGCTGAGCAAAAAGAACATTAAGGCTCGTCTCATTTTTGCCAGAAAACATCTTGATGATCTGTTCGTGACCTCAAGCTGAAGCGAACTTGGGTTCTGCAGCAGGACAATGATCCAAAACACACCAGCAAGTCCACCTCTGAATGGCTGAAGAAAAACAAAATTAAGACTTTGGAGTGGCCTAGTCAAAGTCCTGACCTGAATCCTATTGAGATTCTGTGGCATGACCTTAAAAAGGCAGTTCATGCTCGAAAACCCTCCAATGTGGCTGAATTACAACAATCCTGCAAAGATGAGTGGGCCAAAATTCCTCCACAGCGCTGTAAAAGACTCCTTGCAAGTTATTGCAAACACTTGATTGCAGTTGTTGCTGCTAAGGGTGGCCCAACCAGTTATTAGGTTGTAGGGGGCAATCACTTTTTCACACAGGGCCATGTGGGTTTGGATTTTGTTTTCCCTTATTATTATTATTATTATTATTATTATTAATAATAATAATAATAATAACCTTCATTTCAAAACTGCATTTTGTGTTTACTTGTGTTATCTTTGACTAATATTTAAATTTGTTTGATGATCTGAAACATTTAAGTGTGACAAACATGCAAACAAATAAGAAATCAGGAAGGGGGCAAACACTTTTTCACACCACTGTATCTGTCAGACAAATAATGACCTATTCTAAAGGCTATGCTCATGCTACTTTTCTCTGTTTTTCTTCCCCCATCCATGGCCTTTGTTTGAATATAGTGATCGGGAAGTACAGCCTTCGCCATGACACAGGTACGGTTTGACTTTATAAAATCATACTCAGACCGATTGGAAGAATGCACTCATTGAAAAAAAGGTACCATCTAGAACCTAAAAGGGTTCTTCAGCTGTCCCCATAGGAGAATCCTTTGAATAACCCTTTTTGGTTCCAGGTATAACCCTTTAGGTTCCAGGTTAAACCCTTTTGGGTTCCATGTAGAACCCTTTCAGAGGGTTCTACATGGAACCCAAAGGGGTTCTACCTGGAACCAAAAAGGGTTCTCCTATGGGGACAGCCAAAGAACCATTTTGGATGCCAGTCAGGTGCTCTGGGTTACAGCTCTACAGGCCAGGTTCATGCGCCATCTGTTGATTTTGTGTTGTAGAATCATCAAAACAGTCGTTAAACAAAATTAATGGCTACACCAACGTTTTTCTGTGATCGGTTTCTATTAAGTGAAATGTCTATATTTATTATGTGTCTCACCTCCTCTCGTGTGCCTCCTCTTGTCTGGTTAGTTCTGAGGGACACGCTAAACAGGAAGTTCTCTGTGGCATTCTCCATCATTGGAATGTTCTCCTCTCACGCCGTCAGCACCCTCAGCATCTTCTTCTGCGCTGAGATCACTCCCACCGTCATTAGGTAACACACACACGGTCTGACCGCACCCACCCATACCTGCAGTTATTGGATTCCTAAACTACACACCACAGGTGGTTGGTGGCACCTTAATTGGGGAGGACGGGCTCGTGGTAATTTTTACATTTTTTACATTTTAGTCATTTAGCAGACGCTCTTATCCAGAGCGACTTACAGTTAGTGAATACATATTTTTTTATACTGGCCCCCCGTGGGAATCGAACCCACAACCCTGGCGTTGCAAACGCCATGCTCTATCAACTGAGCTACATCCCTGGCTGGAGTGGAATGGTATCAAATACATCAAACACATGGTTTCCATGTGTTTGATGCCATTCCATTCGCTCCTTCCAGCCATTATTATGAGCCGTCCTCCCCTCAGCAGCCTCCACTGCTACACACACTTATTGGAAAATGATGTCCCACCAAGTGTAGCTTTGTCTTAGTGGCCTACTAGTGCCACCTTGTGGTGTAGTATGTATGTGTCATATACAGGCAATTTGACAGAGACTGCTGTTCTAGAATGTAGATCAGTGATGGGCAACAGGCGAGGCGGCCCGTGTGCCGCAGACCAATTTCACAACAACAACAAAGAATACGTAGATTTCTAATTTTTGGGAACTCTGTCGATGTCTCAACGTACTGTTGAGAGTTAGAATAATAGAATACACAAGGTGCAATTTCGAAATTTGGTTGTGCAAATCAAATCAAATTGTATTTGTCACATTCGCCGAATACAACAGGTGTAGAACTTACCGTGAAATGCTTACTTACGAGCCCTTAACCAACAATGCAGTTCAAGAAATAGAGTTAAGAAAATATTTACTAAATAAACAAAATAAAAAGTAACAATAAAATAGCAATAACGAGGCTATATACAATGTGCGGGGGTACAGGGTCATTTGTACATGTAGGTAGGGGTAAAGTGACTATGCATAGATAATAAACAGCGAGTAGCAGCAGTGTAAAAACAAGGGGGGGGGGGGGGGGTGTTAGTGTAAATAGTCCAGGTGGCCATTTGATTAGTTGTTCAGCAGTCTTGGGGGTAGAAGCTGTTAAGGAGCCTTTTGGACCTAGACTTGGCGCTCCGGTACCGCTTGCTGTGCGGTAGCAGAGAGAACAGTCTATGACTTGAGTAACTGGAGTCTTTGACCATTTTTGGAGCCTTCCTCTAACACCGGCTAGTATAGAGGTCCTGGATGGCAGGAAGCTTTGCCACAGTGATGTACTGGGCCGTACGCACTACCCTCTGTAGCGCCTTATGGTTGGTTTCTGAGCAGTTGCCATACCAGGCGGTGATGCAACCGGTCAGGATGCTCTCGATGGTGCAGCAGTATAACTTTTTGAGGATCTGGAGACCCATGCCAAATCTTTTCAGTCTCCTGAGGGGGAAAAGGTGTTGTCGTGCCCTCTTCATGACTGTCTTGGTGTGTTTGGACCATGATAGTTTGTTGTTGATGTGGACACCAAGGAACTTCAAACTCTCGACCCGCTCCACTACAGACCTGTCGATGTGAATGGGGGCCTGGTCGGCCCTCCTTTTCCTGTAGTCCACGATCAGCTCCTTTGTCTTGCTCACATTGAGGGAGAGGTTGTTGTCCTGGCACCACACTGCCAGGTCTCTGACCTCCTCCCTATTGTTGTTGGTGATCAGGCCTACCACTGTTGTGTCGTCAGCAAACTTAATGATGGTGTTGGAGTCGTGCTTGCCACGCAGTCGTGGGTGAACAGGGAGTACAGGAGGGGACTAAGCACGCACCCCTGAGGGGCCCCGTGTTGAGGATCAGCGTGACAGATGTGTTGTTACCTACCCTTACCACCTGGGGGCAGCCCATCAGGAAGTCCAGGATCCAGTTGCAGAGGGAGGTGTTTAGTCCCAGGGTCCTTAGCTAAGTGATGAGCTTTGTGGGCACTATGGTGTTGAACGCTGAGCTGTAGTCAATGAACAGCATTATCACATAGGTGTTCCTTTTGTCCAGGTGAGAAAGGGCAGTGTGGAGTGCAATTGAGATTGTGTCATCTGTGGATTTGTTGGGGCGGTGTGCAAATTAGAGTGGGTCTAGGGTTGAGCCATGACCAGCCTTTCAAAGCACTTCATGGCTACCGACGTGAGTGCTACGGGGCGGTAGTCATTTAGGCAGGTTACCTTCGCTTTCTTGGGCACAGGGACTATGGTGGTCTGCTTGAAACATGTAGGTCAGGGTTCTTCAATTCCGGTCCTGGAGGGCCGAAACACCTCTGTTTTTCATCCTCTCCTTCTAATCAGGGGCTAATTCAGACCTGGGACACCAGGTGAGTGCAATTAACTACCAGGTAGAAATAAAAAACAGAAGTGTTTCGGCCCTCCAGGACCGGAATTGAAGAACCCTGATGTAGGTATTACAGACTCAGTCAGGGAGAGGTTGAAAATGTCAGTGAAGACACTTGCCAGTTGGTCCGCTCATGCTCGATGGACACGTCCTGGTAATCCATCTGGCCCCGCGGCCTTGTGAATGTTGACCTGTTTAAAGGTCTTGCTCGCATCGGCTACGGAGAGCGTGATCACACAGTCGTCCGGAACAGCTGGTGCTCTCATGCATGCTTCAGTGTTGCTTGCCTCGAAGCAAGCATAAAAGGCATTTAGCTCGTCTGGTAGGCTCGCGTCACTGGGCAACACGCGGCTGGGTTTCCCTTTGTAGTCCGTAATAGTTTGCAAGCCCTGCCACATCCGACGAGCGTCAGAGCCAGTGTAGTACAATTCAATCTTAGTCCTGTATTGATGCTTTGCCTGTTTGATGGTTCGTCTGAGGGCATAGCGCAATTTCTTATAAGTGTCCGGATTAGTGTCCCACTCCTTGAAAGCGGCAGCTCTAGCCTTTAGCTCGGTGCAGATGTTGCCTGTAATCCATGGCTTCTGGTTGAGATATTATGTACATACGTATGGTCACTGTGGGGACAACGTCGTCGATGCACTTATTGATGAAGCCGGTGACTGAGGTGGTATACTCTTCAATGCCATTGGATGAATCCCGGAACATATTCCAGTCTGTGCTAGCAAAACAGTCATGTAGCGTAGCATCCGCGTCATCTGACCACTTCCGTATTGAGCGAGTCACTGGTACTACCTGCTTTAGTTTTTGCTTGTAAGCAGGAATCAGGAGGATAGAATTATGGTCAGATTTGCCAAATGGAGGGCGAGGGAGAGCATTGTATGCGTCTCTGTGTGTGGAGTAAAGGTGGTCCAGAGTTTTTTTTTTTTTTTTTTCCCTCTGGTTGCAAGTGACATGCTGGTAGAAATTAGGTAAAACGGATTTAGGTTTGCCATCACTAGGAGCGCCGCTTCTCAAATCAAATCAAATTTTATTGGTCACATGCGCCGAATACAACAGGTGCAGACATTACAGTGAAATGCTTACTTACAGCCCTTAACCAACAGTGCATTTATTTTAAACAAAAAAAGTAAGAATAAAACAACAACAAAAAAGTGTTGAGAAAAAAAAAAGAGCAGAAGTAAAAAATAAAGTGACAGTAGGGAGGCTATATATACAATAGAATAAAGTGACAGTAGGGAGGCTATATATACAGGGGGGTACCGTTGCATAGTCAATGTGCGGGGGCACCGGCCAGTTGAGGCAGTTGAGGCAATATGTACATGTGGGTAGAGTTAAAGTGACTATGCATAAATACTTAACAGAGTAGCAGCAGCGTAAAAAGGATGGGGTGGGGGGGCAGTGCAAATAGTCCGGGTAGCCATGATTAGCTGTTCAGGAGTCTTATGGCTTGGGGGTAGAAGCTGTTGAGAAGTCTTTTGGACCTAGACTTGGCACTCCGGTACCGCTTGCCGTGCGGTAGCAGAGAGAACAGTCTATGACTAGGGTGACTGGAGTCTTTGACAATTTTGAGGGCCTTCCTCTGACACCGCCTGGTATAGAGGTCCTGGATGGCAGGGAGCTTTGCCCCAGTGATGTACTGGGCCGTACGCACTACCCTCTGTAGTGCCTTGCGGTCAGAGGCCAAGCAGTTGCCATACCAGGCGGTGATGCAACCAGTCAGGATGCTCTCGATGGTGCAGCTGTAGAATTTTTTGAGGATCTGAGGACCCATGCCAAATCTTTTTAGTCTCCTGAGGGGGAATAGGCTTTGTCGTGCCCTCTTCACGACTGTCTTGGTGTGTTTGGACCATGATAGTTCGTTGGTGATGTGGACACCAAGGAACTTGAAGCTCTCAACCTGTTCCACTACAGCCCCGTCGATGAGAATGGGGGCGTGCTCAGTCCTCTTTTTTTTCCTGTAGTCCACAATCATCTCCTTTGTCTTGGTCACGTTGAGGGAGAGGTTGTTGTCCTGGCACCACACGGCCAGATCTCTGACCTCCTCCCTATAGGCTGTCTCATCGTTGTCGGTGATCAGGCCTACCACTGTTGTGTCGTCGGCAAACTTAATGATGGTGTTGGAGTCGTGCCTGGCCATGCAGTCATGGGTGAACAGAGAGTACAGGAGGGGACTGAGCACGCACCCCTGAGGGGCCCCCGTGTTGAGGATCAGTGTGGCAGATGTGTTGTTACCTACCCTTACCACCTGGGGGCGGCCCGTCAGGAAGTCCAGGATCCAGTTGCAGAGGGAGGTGTTTAGTCCCAGGATCCTTAGCTTAGTGATGAGCTTTGAGGGCACTATGGTGTTGAATGCTGAGCTGTAGTCAATGAATAGCATTCTCACGTAGGTGTTCCTCTTGTCCAGGTGGGAAAGGGCAGTGTGGAGTGCGATAGAGATTGCATCATCTGTGGATCTGTTGGGGCGGTATGCAAATTGGAGTGGGTCTAGGGTTTCTGGGATTATGCTGTTGATGTGAGCCATGACCAGTCTTTCAAAGCACTTCATGGCTACAGACGTCAGTGCCACGGGTCGGTAGTCATTTAGGCAGGTTATCTTAGAGTTCTTGGGCACGGGGACTATGGTGGTCTGCTTGAAACATGTTGGTATTACAGACTCAGTCAGGGACATGTTGAAAATGTCAGTGAAGACACTTGCCAGTTGGTCAGCACATGCTCGGAGTACACGTCCTGGTAATCCGTCTGGCCCTGCGGCCTTGTGAATGTTGACCTGCTTAAAAGTCTTACTCACATCGGCTACGGAGAGCGTGATCACATAGTCGTCCGGAACAGCTGGTGCTCTCATGCATGCTTCAGTGTTGCTTGCCTCGAAGCGAGCATAGAAGTGGTTTAGCTCGTCTGGTAGGCTTGTGTCACTGGGCAGCTCGCGGCTGTGCTTCCCTTTGTAGTCTGTAATAGTTTTCAAGCCCTGCCACATCCGACGAGCGTCAGAGCCAGTGTAGTATGATTCAATCTTAGACCTGTATTGACTCTTTGCCTGTTTGATGGTTCGTCGGAGGTCATAGCGGGATTTCTTATAAGCGTCCGGGTTAGAGTCCCGTTCCTTGAAAGCGGCAGCTCTACCCTTTAGCTCAGTGCGGATGTTTCCTGTAATCCATGGCTTCTGGTTGGGGTATGTACGTACGGTCACTGTGGGGACGACATCATCGATGCACTTATTGATGAAGCCAGTGACTGATGTGGTGTACTCCTCAATGCTGTCTGAAGAATCCCTGAACATGTTCCAGTCTGTGCTAGCAAAACAGTCCTGTAGCTTAGCATCTGCGTCATCTGACCACTTTTTTATTAGCCGAGTCACTGGTGCTTCCTGCTTCAGTTTTTGCTTATAAGCAGGAATCAGGAGGATAGAGTTATGGTCAGATTTGCCAAATGGAGGGCGAGGGAGAGCTTTGTATGCGTCTCTGTGTGTGGAGTAAAGGTGGTCTAGAGTTTTTTTCCCCTCTGGTTGCACATTTAACATGCTGGTAGAAATGAGGTAGAACGGATTTAAGTTTCCCTGCATTAAAGTCCCCTGCTACTAGGAGCGCTGCATCTGGATGAGCGTTTTCCTGTTGATTAATGGCCTTGTACAACTCATTCAGTGCAATCTTAATGCCAGCATTGGTTTGTGGTGGTAAATAGACAGCTATGAAAAGTATAGATGAAAACTCTCTTGGTAAATAGTGTGGTCTACAGCTTATCATAAGATACTCTACCTCAGGCGAGCAAAACCTTGAGACTTCCTTAGTATTTGATTTTGTGCACCAGCTGTTGTTTACAAAAATACAGAGACCGCCACCCCTCGTCTTACCCGAGTCTGCCGTTCTGTCCTGCCGATGTAGCGTATAGCCTGCTAGCTGAATGTTGTCATTGTTGTCATTCAGCCACGACTCCGGATGAGCATTTTCTTGTTTACTTATGGCCTTATACAGCTCGTTGAATGCGGTCTTAGTGCCAGCATCGGTTTGTGGTGGTAAATAGAAGGCTACGAAGAATATAGATAAACTCTCTTGGTAGATAGTGTGGTCCACAGTTTATCATGAGGTATTCTACCTCAAGCGAGCAATACCTTGAGACTTCCTTAATATTAGACATCTCTCCACCAGCTGTTGTTGACAAATAGACACAGATCCCCCACCCCTTGTCTTACCAGACGTACAGTGGGGGGAAAAAGTATTTAGTCAGCCATCAATTGTGCAAGTTCTCCCACTTAAAAAGATGAGAGAGGCCTGTAATTTTCATCATAGGTACACGTCAACTATGACGGACAAAATGAGATGAAAAAAAATCCAGAAAATCACATTGTAGGATTTTTTATGAATTTAATTGCAAATTATGGTGGAAAATAAGTATTTGGTCAATAACAAAAGTTTCTCAATACTTTGTTATATACCCTTTGTTGGCAATGACACAGGTCAAACGTTTTCTGTAAGTCTTCACAAGGTTTTCACACACTGTTGCTGGTATTTTGGCCCATTCTTCCATGCAGATCTCCTCTAGAGCAGTGATGTTTTGGGGCTGTCGCTGGGCAACACTTCTGGATGAGCATTTTCTTGTTTACTTATGGCCTTATACAGCTCGTTGAATGCGGTCTTAGTGCCAGCATCGGTTTGTGGTGGTAAATAGAAGGCTACGAAGAATATAGATAAACTCTCTTGGTAGATAGTGTGGTCCACAGTTTATCATGAGGTATTCTACCTCAAGCGAGCAATACCTTGAGACTTCCTTAATATTAGACATCTCTCCACCAGCTGTTGTTGACAAATAGACACAGATCCCCCACCCCTTGTCTTACCAGACGTACAGTGGGGGGAAAAAAGTATTTAGTCAGCCACCAATTGTGCAAGTTCTCCCACTTAAAAAGATGAGAGAGGCCTGTAATTTTCATCATAGGTACACGTCAACTATGACAGACAAATTGAGAAAAATAAATCCAGAAAATCACATTGTAGGATTTTTAATGAATTTATTTGCAAATTATGGTGGAAAATAAGTATTACAGGCCTCTCTCATCTTTTTAAGTGGGAGAACTTGCACAATTGGTGGCTGACTAAATACTTTTTTTCCCCACTGTAGCTGTTCTGTCCTGCCGATGCACGGAAAACCCAGCCAAATGTATATTATCCGTGTAGTCCTTCAGCCATGACTCAGTGAAACATAAGATATTATAGTTTAATGTCCCATTGGTAGGATAGTCTGAAACGGAGACCATCCAGTTTATTTTCCAGTGATTGCACGTTGGCCAATAGAACGGATGGTAGAGGCGGGTTACCCACTCGCCGACGAATTCTAACAAGGCACCCCGATCTCCGCCCCCTGTATTTCCGTATTTTCTTAACGCGAATGACGGGGATTTGGGCCTGGTCTCGGAGAAGCAGTATATCCTTTGCGTCGGACTCATTAAAAAAAAAATCTTTGTCCAGTTCGAGGTGAGTAATCGCTGTTCTGATGTCCAGAAGCTATTTTCGGTCATAAGAGACGGTAGCAGCAACATTATGTACAAAATAAGTTACAAACAATGTGAAAAAACACACAAAATAGCACAGTTGGTTAGGAGCACGGCAGCTATCCCCTCCGGCGCCATTGTCCAAAATGCATCAGCAGTTACTCAATTAACCCATATCAGCAAAAAAAATGTAGATTGGTAAATTAGTCTATTGGCCAGATATGTAAACTTGTAGTAAGCATGGTCAAATTACCGACCGGGGTGGGGCCCATTGATCATCAGTTATCATATTAAAAACTGCTAACATTTGCCTCCACTCTATGGCAAAATGTGTAGAATTGCAGGAAATTAGCTGTTAAACTGACTCTCCCTCTTTGTCTCCCTCCCCCAGGGGTGGTGGTCTGGGCCTGGTCCTGGCCAGCGCTGGCTTCGGCATGCTGACGGCCCCCATCATGGAGCTCCACAACCAGAAGGGCTACTTCCTGCATCACATGATCTTCGCTGCCTGCACCCTGCTGTGCATCATCTGCCTGCTACTGCTGCCCGAGCCGCGCAACCAGCCCCTGCCAGAGAGCCTTGCGGACGGGGAGAACTACACCCGCCAGCCCCTGCTCACCCACCGGCCTGGAGAGCAGCACCTCCTCCTCACCAAGCCTGGGGATAGGGACTTATACTCCCGGGTCCACGACACGCCGCGGCATCTTACGGCCACCGGGGGCGCCACAGCAGCAGCGGCTACTGCTCTTGCAGCAGTGCCGACGTCATATGCGTATGCTACTGGAGGGGAGGTGATCAGTAATATTATGGTGGCAAATGGGGTCGGAGGGTCGTCGTAGCAGCAGACACACACTCCTCCCTGACACAGACTGAGGATAGGACAGGACTGTGCTGCGGGAATGGCTGGGACTGTCCCAAACGAACTGTCCCACTCCTGGTCACCTTCATGACTGGCCATGTCTGTTATGATCATTCAGTCAGGAGAACATGGAAGAATTCCGCTTGTCAGTTTCTTCCATGAGGAACTCTTTAATTTTAAAACTTTAAAAACCTTCCCATTCTGGTGAGTTCAATGAACAAATTAACCCTCTCATTAGACTCATGATGCCATTTTCCACGTCTTGTTTGTGAGAAAGTGGGAAATTGAGCTTCCCCAATCATGGACATTCAAGATTTGGACAAAAACTAAAACAATTTAAATAAAGCATTACTATTCAGATGCCCCAGGTTGGGTTTAATGGGTGGTAATGTAATAGGGTGATGGATTAGCAGTTAGCCTGTAGAGTAGTGATTATGTGTGCGTCCTAAATGACACCATTTTCCCTATAGTGTACTGCTTTTGACCAGGGCCTGCATAGGCCTCTGGTCAAAAGTAGTGCACTATCTATAGGGAATAGGGTACTATTTCGGACACTCCAATACGATTTAGTAAGACTTTGAGGGCCTGCAATAGAACAGGATATTCTTGAAACAAAATATGGAATATTTCACACACCTGTGTATGTCTTTGCAATGAACTGAAACTCATTACAATGACTTACATGTATTAGTGCCCACAGAGTAGTTGTTGCAGTGTGTCGAATGAGTATCATGGTTTCAGCATGGTTCCATGCGGAGGGAAGTCATGGTGTCTGTTAGTAAATTATCAGCAGAGTGGTGTACTCAAACAGCATAGAGACAAATGTATAGAGCAGCAGATATCAGACACTGTATTCTAGATTTCATTTGAAATGTCATGGCTTTCAACAGTGATGTGTGCTCTATGCATTTCTTTTCCATCAGCTTAATTTTTTGGCACTAAAATTCAAAGTTAAATCAAATTTAATCAAATATTTGTCAGCCAACTCGTTTGAGGCGCAGGTTTTGGGTGAAACTTCTGTAGTCTAAATTGAATAAAAGTGTAGGCCGGGCCTATATACTGTAGCCTACTTGATGGGTTTATTTATGAATTTGTGCCTCCCACCCCCTTGTCAAAAGTCCAAGTTGGCACTTTATCCTTAGTAGCAGTGGAATCAATATGATGACTTTAGAAAACTGAGTATTGCTACCCCCATTAATGTTGGTGAATGATGGTTGTCTAAGCAATGATATGTGAATGACAGCTGGAAACCTCAGAAAACTGTGATGGCTATGGAAATGGTTTGAACTTTGGACCTTTTTGTGGTGTTTTTATTTCCGTATTCTATGGTGTTGAGTGGATAATACTAGTTAGTTACTAGTATGTACAATGTGTCCCAAATAGCACCCTATTCCCTACACAGTGCACTACTTTTCACCAGAGCCCATGGGCCCTGGTCAAAAGCAGTGCACTACATAGGGAATAGGGTGCCATTTGGGATTGAGCCGTCTCCACTATGAAACATCTCCGTTTCTGAATGGCTTTATCATGATGATTCTTCAGTTTTATAAAAAACTGCACATTTTACAAGTGGACAGGTGACTTTGAAAGAATCGTTCAGTACTTCAGTATTTATTTTTTATGTTGCCAAGAGCATTCTTGTTGCTTGAAATACCTCTTTAATTTAGCTAATTCTGACCTTTCCTATCCCTGTTCTCAACACTGTGGTAAATAATGTTAGTAGTATATTGCTGTTTTTAGAACTTGTTTAAACCTGTCTCTTTAGCACGGTTAAATAATGGCTGGCTATGCCACGAAGGACAACGTCTATAGGGGTTTTGAAATGGTTCGTGTCTCGATTATTAGGTTAGTGCAATAGTGTGATCTAGTTAGAATAGGTGTAACATACAAATGATTAATGCACACCTTACATTGGTATTCAATGTGTCATTCATTGATAATGCATGGCAGGGTTCCCCAACTGGTGGCCTCGGGTGATTTTTATTTGGCCCCCCAAGGTTTCTGAGCCCAAAACAATCAAATAAAATATTATTTTTGGGGGGACAGAAAAGACTGTAAAAACACCAGCAAATCAGCTCCAACTGATTTTAATTTTATAAATCTGTTCCAAAGTATTCACACACATAATAGAGATTATATGTGACCGTATACAAATATAAGCAAGGTTTGAAATGATTATGTTTTAGTCAAATATTATGTATATTTGGGCTTCTTTCGGTCAATTTGCAGTCTACAAATGATTTGTAACTATGTTCCGGGCCCCTGACCGTCCACTCAAGAAAATAAATATCGGCCCGCGGCTGAATCTTGTTGATGATCCCTGATGTATGGACTATCATATTTTATGTACTAGGCATATAAAATAGTTTCATAGGACAATTTGTCACATGATGTGCATAGATGACCTTAAAAGGCCAAGTATACTCTATACATTTCTACCATTAACCATATTTGACGCAAATGGCACATATTTTGACATAATGGACATCTTGTATTGTTTATTTGGTAGTTTGTAAATGTTTTTATCAATGAAATGTTGTGGTAAAAGAAATGAAATTCCATGAGTGATTGATTGTCAACCACTAATATTTTCTAAATGTTTTTTTTTATTTTTTATATATGATGTACCTGTACATATTAAAACCATAAATGTTGTTTTGATAATAAACCACTTCATTTATTGGTTATGTCAATAAATGAACACTATCGAGGTGATACATGTGATGTCTGTAGACGGAGTTTGTGGGTGGGCACGAAAAATGATGTGTGAGTCTGCAGCCTCTACACAGAGACAGTCTCTGGTTAGATCTCAAGTGCTAAAACAGCAAGTGACAGAACAGTCCAGACAGGTAGGTAATGTTGTTCTCTCCATTGTATTATTTCGGTACAAAGTCAGTATAAATGGGGGAAAAGGTTAAAATTGATCAGGGCGAACTTCCATCTCCTTCTTTATCCTATTCTCCACCAGCAGAGACAGGTTGGAGTCGGTCATGGGCAGGTTGTAGCTCACAAACACCTGTTTCTTAGTCCTCTTAGCTGGAAAACAAAGGATATGGAGAACAGCTGGGTTAGTGATGTTTCAAATGGTGTAAACTGACACCAACAAAAGAGCATCATACTGGTTAGTGGTTTAACAGTCTAGATTTCTGTAAATGTTCTGATTCTGAATAACATATAGCAACTATAGTGAAGGAAAAATATAAATGCAAAATGTAAAGTGTTGGTCCCATGTTTCATGAGCTGAAATAAAAGATCCCAGAAATTGTCCATACACATAAAAGCTTATTTCTCTCAAATGTTGTGCACACATTTGTTTACATCCCTGTTAGTGAACATTTCTCCCTTGCCAAGATAATCCATCCACCTGACAGGTGTGGCATATCAAGAAGCTTATTAAACAGCATGATCATTACACAGGTGCACCTTCTGCTGGGGACAATAAAAAGCTACTCTAAAATGTGAAGTTTTGTCTCACAACCAATGCCACAGATGTCTCAAGTTTTGAGGGAGTGTGCAATTGGCTTCCTGACTGCAGGAATGTCCACCACAGTATGTTGCCAGAGAATTGAATGTTCATTTCTCTACCAACTTCGTTTTAGAGAATTTGGCAGTATGTCCAACCAGCCTCACAACCGCAGACCACATGTAACCACGCCATCCCAGGACCTCCACATCCGGCTTCTTCACCTGCGGGATCGTCTGAGACCAGCCACCCGGACGGCTGATGAAACTGAGGAGTATTTACTTCTGTATTAAAGCCCTTTTGTGGGGAAAAACTCATTCTGATGGCTGGGCCAGGCTCCCCATCCATCCATAGATTAGGGCCTAATGAATTTATTTAAATTGACTGATTTCCTGTAACTCAGTAAAGTTGTTGAAATTGTTGCATGTTGAGTTTATATTGTATAATTGATTATTAGACAGATTTGACTGTAAGCACAAAGTTGTGGCATCTTGGATGAGTTTGTGTGTGTGTGTGTGTGTGTGTGTGTGTGTAAATATGTGGCCCGTCTTATGCCGCATTCAAAACAACTGGCAACTTGGGGGGAAAAAAGTTCTGACCATAGCCGCAGGAAGTAGGGGTGCAGAGGGTGCTGCAACAACACCTGAAAAATCTGAATAAAAACTAATATTAATACAAATATATATATATATATTTTTTGTGCACTGGGCCTTTAAAAGTCCTGTAAGGGGACCGATATAGCTCCATCTTTCTAGTTCTCCGACTTTCTGCCCTGATGTCGTTTTTTTCCGATTTCCCAGTTGTCTTGAAAGCACCATTATGATAGCATTAAGCTGGACAATTACATCATGGTCTGTGGAGGACACAGCCAATCCTCAGAGAGATAGGATATTGACAGGAAAATGAAGAAAGGGGTGCTTACTCAATCTCTGCGCCAGTGAATTCTGGGTTGTTTCAGATGGGTCCCCCAGGACTAACGTAGACAGCGGCATCGAATCCTGAATTTACACACACAGAATAGGACACATCATCAGCCGATATAATAACTTTAACGTAGCTAGCTAGAAACATTACACAGTGAAGCTAGCTAGCTTCCCATCTCTGTTAGCTAGTCTTCTCTGTAACACTGTATTTATTATACAGTCGGTTACTCACAAATTTACTTTCCATTGAAACAGCCAAATTGGACAAAACCGGGTTCGAGCCGACCCAAAGGAAAAAACCCCCATTGAGTTTCATGACGTGAAAGTGAACCGTTTGCTCCAGAATCTTCTCTGAGAAATCGTGCACTGTAATGGCATTGCCTACTGCTCCATTTTCTGATATGTTCATTTTGAATAGCTGTTTGTATGAAGACAAGTAGCTACGACTAAACGAGACGATTCATTTGAAATGTTTCAACCAACTCATGTGTCCGTAAACCAGAAGTAACTTCCTGGTTTCTGGAACGTGTAAGTGATCAATAGAAGCGCTTGCGCGTGATTCTGAACATCATGAGAAACACGAATGGCTAGCTTTGTATTCCTCCCGCCTCTGCTTGAATGTCATTCGGTCCTCAAAGTGTCAACATCTTTTCGAACCCGGAAGTCGAAAATATTTGCAAGCTCCTCACTAAGGCGTAAAAAATGCTAAGGTGGTTAGAAGTTGACGAGTATCTTTAGGTTTAATTTGAGTTGTTATAGCTTAAAATTTTCCTCAAAATGTCCAAAATACAGCTATTGAATGTGTTTATCACTGAGCGGTTAACAACGACAGCTGTTGAGATATTTGGAGAAAAGAAAACCGAGTACCATGACCGATTAAAATCAGCGGCAGTTGATATATTCAGGATAGTGGAAAAGACGATAACAGAGTACTTGAAAGAGATATCCAGCTCAAAGCAGGAGAACGGTCGTCTACGGAGGATTCTTCTGGATTTGGGAGCAGGTTTGTGACCAATAAACATCATACAATTAAAACAATACTGAGGACTACTAATGTCTGAACATATTCAACCACATTAGTTTGCTGAATCGCAATTGCAGTCATGTTGCGTTCGTCTCAGCAGAAGGGCGGTAGACTGTGCCAGTCTTAGTACGATCATGTCACTCCCGAATGCCTGAAGTCAAAACCTCTTTTTTTTTGCTAACATTCCAATCCTTGTATTCTGTGTCATTGCCAAACATGTTTGGCATGTCAAGGAGTGGAATGTTAGCACAAACAAACGGTATTCTCCAGGTTAAGGAGCAGGGCATAGGCCTAAATAATTGGGAAGGTAGCCAGTTATTTATCAAATGTGTAGAACCTTACTTATTTCCCATCCTTCTCCCCAGACCCCCAGCAGCTAACTGGGGAGATTCCCCCTAAGCAGCAACAACAACCACACTGTGAGCAGGAGTGGAGCCCCAGTCGTGTGCAGGAGGACCCAGAGCACACGTCAATTACAGAGCAACAAGAGGCACTCAAGACCAGTCAGGATACCACAGAGGTCACACAGTTCATATTTCCTCCTCCTCCCTGTGTAGAAAGTGACTGTGATCAGGACAGTGAGAGGGACCCTCTACCCACCAACACCACTGTCGGAATCAAAACAGAACCTGATGATGGAGAGGAATACGGAATATCAGAACCAAGCATTGACTCTCAGCCCCTCTCTGAACTAGGCCTACATCCAGACTCTAAAGTCTGCACTGAGGCCAAGACAACCAGTGAGCTGAAAGCACCATTGAGGGCTCACACAGAGAAGAGGTTACACATGTGTACTGTCTGCAGGAAAAGCTTCACCAGGGCAGGCCAGTTAAAAATACATCAGAGAATTATTCACATCGGTGAGAAACCATACAGCTGTCCTGAATGTGGCAAATCCTTCAACCACAAGGAAATACTGGACAGGCATATAAACACTCACACAGGAGTGACACCATACAAATGCCCTGTGTGCAGTCAATGCTTCATTAGCAGAAGCCATTTAGGAAATCACCGGAAAATTCATCAGAAAGATGAAAAAGCATATAAGTGCAAAGAATGCTCCAAGTCCTTCAAAGGCAAGGGAGCTCTGGTCAGGCATATAAAGACTCACAATGGAGAGAAACCGTATCAATGTTTTGAGTGTGACAAAAGCTTCACACGTCAGGGACACCTGACAGAGCATATGAGGTCCCACACAGGAAGGGAGAGCCTATTTAAATGTCCTGTATGTGAGAAATCCTGTATATCAGCCGTGGTTCTAAAACGCCATCAGCTAATTCACACCGGAGTGAAACCATACAGCTGCCAGGAGTGCGGAAAAAGCTACAGTCTGAAGGCAACACTAAAAGAGCATATGAGGAGTCACACAGGGCAACGACTTCAGTGTCCTATGTGTGAAAAATGTTTCACATTTAAAGCAGGTCTAAGACAACACCTAAAAACTCACAATAGAGAGACACCATACGGGTGCAGCGATTGCAGTCAAAGTTTCAGCCGGAAATCAGACTTGATAGGGCATATGCGCACTCATACAGGAGAGAGATTATTCAGGTGCCCTCTATGTGAGAAATGCTTTATATCAGACTGTGATTTAAAACGCCACCAGCGGATCCACACTGGCGAGAAACCATACAGCTGCAAGGAATGCGACAAAAGCTTCACCCTTAAGGGAGGCCTGAAAACGCACATGAAGATACACACGACGCGGAAACCCTACTGCTGCCATGAATGTGGCAAATGCTTCCTCCACAACACTAGACTGACAGACCACATGAGGAGCCACACAGGGGAGCAGCCGTACAGATGTGATGTCTGCAGGAAATGCTTTGTCTATTCGAGCGATTTAAAAAAGCATGAGAGAATTCACACAGGTGAGGAACCATACAGGTGTGTTGAATGTAACAAATGCTTCAACTACGAGGGCAACTTGCTCAGCCATATGAGGGTACACACAGGGGAGACAGGGGAGGAAGGAGAGGAGCCTCCAGCGTATCTCTGCAGCGATTGCGGCAAAAGCTTCCATCAGATGCGAAACCTAAAGCAGCATATGAAGAGTCACAAAGCGAAGGCAATGCTGCAGTGCACTATGTGTGAAAAAGCTTTTCCAAAAGAAAGCCAACTCAAACTCCACAAGAGAATTCACACTGGAGAGAAACCGTACCTGTGTAACACTTGTGGGAAAAGCTTTAGCAGGAAGGAACACCTGAATGGTCACATGAGGACTCACTCAGGGGAGAAACCATACATGTGCCCTTCGTGTGGTAAATGCTTTTTATCAACGAGTGATCTTAAACGCCATCAGAGAATTCACACTGGCGAGAAACCGTTTCGCTGTAACTATTGCGACAAATGCTTCAATCAGATGAGTTCCCTGAAATCACACATGAATAACATTCACAAGAGGGAGAGTATGTAGTAGGGTTCTTGGTCAGGTGTAAAATGTGTCCATCAACAGATGGATAGGCTCATTGTAACTGACACCATTGTGCCTGTCAGAGAACATACTGTACATATGAAGAGTTCACTTGTTTTCTAAAGACTTTACCAGCGGTGAAAGTATAATTAATTTCTCCCCACTATGGGACCTATATGTGCACGCGCTTGCGCCTAGACCCCAAAAATGTATCGGCCTAATCATAGAATTCCTATTAATTCAAAAGGATCTCTGTGGGCCTGGTAAAGATTTGTCATATAACTTTTAAAATGTATTACCTTTTATTGTGTAATAAAAACAACCAGTCATGATGTTTTAATCTGATTGCCAAACAATCACTTCAAATGGCTCCACACTCATCAACTCGCAACATATTTCCAGCCTCCAAACCAGTGCTTGACTTGGGCAGGACCTCACCGGAACGGAGTACTGGAACTTCAAATGTTCTACTGCTTGAGCTCCTGTTCCTCTTATAGAATATTAGCTCAAAGTACCGGAACCTATTTCAGTCCAAGTCAAGCACTGCTCCAAACAGTGGTGAATGGAAAGAGACATCTGTTACACAAAACACCAAAAAGTGTAATGACATTTGGCGATTGTCATTAGGCCAGAGTTTATGCGTCCGCGCGCGTCTCAATGTCGGCCACTCATCTCTAACTTGCCAAAATGTCAGTGTTCTCATCTGACCACATCACATATTGGAGCATAGGCTTTACCACCAGTTTAAGTCCATTTGCAAATGTTCTTGACATTTTGTTTTAATGATTGTGATAGGTTCATGTTTAACTGGTACGGCGTACCCAAACTATTTATTTTGCTGGGACACCGTACTTTCACCCCTGCTGTTTACAAAATATGCCTGATTAAAATTGTAATTGAATGACTATCATTTTGCGACTCTTTTCTTTTGCTTTGTTTTACATGGCATAACAGTTAGTGCAAATGCAACATTTCCATAACATGCCATATATGACACAACAGTACAAAACAGAGGACTGGACACAATACAAAAAGTTATAAACAAAAACTATCCAATTACACAAGGAATTAATGCATAACATTTGCAATAGTCATGTGGATGGGTATTTATTTTGGCTCATATACCAGTAATTCACTGATAATAGTCAGTTAATTAATGGACCATACTCAGATTATAAGTGTTGCTGGCTGTAGTGTTCCTTTAGTGACCCAGGCCTGAAAGCTTCTTGTTTCCTATGGGTGCAGTATTTTTGTATCTGAACTGGCACCCTAAATCCCTACGTACTGCACTTCTTTTGACCATGGCCCTGGTCAAAAGTAGTGCACAATGTTAGAAATAGGGTGCTATTTGGGACGCAGACAGTATGTCCATCACTGGTTCAGGAAGTCTTCCACCAGCTTGTTGAACTCGGCAGCAAACCTCAGGTGCAGGTTATGTTTCCCTTCTGGCATCAGGTGCAATCTGGACACCGACGAAAACATTGTAGTAGAGGTTGTACGTATCATTAGTGGATGTAGTTAAACATTGACATAGAAATTATGTACAGTCAGCATGTCCTTTCATACAATGCCTCTCTATAAGAGAGAAAAACATACAGAAGGGAGGATAGGAGAACAAAAGATAAGGAATGTAATGGGGGTGTCAGCTCACCTTGAACCCTTGATGTGTTTGACGAGATACTGAGGGTGGAAGCTGGGCACCATGGAATCCTTCTCTCCGTGGATGATGAGGGAGGGACAGCTGATCTGAGGCAGCAGCTCCATACAGATGCTTCCTGAACAATACAGGACAGAGAACACAAGTCTAAGGATCTATACAGATACTCTTTAACACAGGAACTGACAAGTGGAACTGGAAAATTTGAATCTTTGCTGCAAAGATGTTGCTGCTCTAACCTTCTGGTCTCTGGGCAAACTGTCCAATCCCATCCACCCATCCTTCCCAGGTCTTAATAAAGAGCTCCGCCCCATACACCTCCTCCATGGGCCTCCTCATCCTCTCACTCCACTGAGACACGTCACGGATCGCTGAAGAAACATGGACACACACAGGCTGTATTACACAAACCCACACACATGCAGAGCTGCCTAATCCAGTCACTCCACAGTACGCTCGCACACACCAATAACAGGACCTCACCATTGTAGATCTTTACATCTTGTGGTGAGACGTATGCGTTGGAGCCCCACACCACCATCTTATTGACCAGGGAGGGGTTCCTGGCTGCTGCGATCAGAGCAGTAATGCCTCCGTCACTCCAGCCCAGCAGAGAGAACCTTGGAAATCTCAACGCCTACCAGGGGAAAGACACACGTTCACAGATAAGCAATGAGGGAAAAGACACACACGTTCACAGATAAATAAGGAAATACACTTGGCTGACTGTCCTCACATACCGAGAGCAAGAGAGAGGCTACTGTGTAGTTCATGTTCTCCAGAGGAGTCCTGTTTCTCTGTGTTGCGGAGAAAGTCACTATAATCTTGTGTGCTGAGTTTACAGTTGCGGACTATGCAATATTAAGAGGCACACTCTACAAGCCCTGTACAGCAACATTTTAAAGCATGTTCCCAATGTGATTCCTGATTGGTTTGACTCTGACCTGCATCAGGTCCACAGCGTCCTTGGCGTCCCTCTCAAAGAAGTTCAGAGGGAAGTCTCTCTCCGGGGGGCGGGAGTTTCCGTACCCGCGAGGGTCCCAACCAATCACAGTGAAGCAGTCCTTACTCAAAGACTTCAGCTGCGGCCCAAAGTCAGTCTGAGCACTTCCTGTTACAGGAACGCACACTGCTGGTAACCAACATTATAGAGGGTCTGTGCCTGTTCTTCTGATGAGGACCCAAAACAACTTACTATGCGTTTTTATGAAGTTGTTTATACTGTAGGTTAATAGGCTTGAGGTCCTCAGTCACCTCTCAACATCAAAGTCACTATTACTAATGTTGATGCTCTGATGGGCAGATGCCTTAATCAGTAGTGTGACATATGATTTAGGCTAGTCCATATTTGAAAAAGATCATCATTACACACTTGACAGTTTATGGACAAGGTTGGCGAAGTGACGGAGGTTGGTAGTGTTGTGCACCAGACACTTATAGCCTGGGGACCACTAGTGTTGTTACCTACCCAGAGCTCCAGGCAGTAGTAAAACAGCATGGTCTCCTTTTCCAGTCTGCTGGTAGAACAGATCCACTCCATTCACACACTCTCTGCCTGATACCACTGAGGTACTTAGGGGAAAACAAACAACACAATTAAACAGACATATCTACTTGATGAATAAATACTGACAATTCATGTGTATTTTAACTGATAATATATGACATACAGTACCACAAACCAAATGTATATTACATTTAATTCACTGCAACTGGAGCCTGAGATGGGTAAACAGCGCCATCTCCTGACCATATATTAAACTGCACTGATAGCCAGAAAACATGCATGACAGCTGTATTGGAGCCACAGACTATTCTAAGTATTTTCAACCACTGTTGTAATATCTGCAAATAATTCGGTAGCTAGCTACCGTAGAATGCACTTCGTATTTACAGACACTTGAACTGCATTTATTACCAGTAGAGCTGGACTCCTTGCATAGCCTTTTTGGTAACAGCATTGCGAAGTCCTCTTCCCCAGAATAACAACGCCATTTCGTTGACAAAACGTTTCTAAATTGGTTTCACCTCGCACGGTTTCTCATTTGACTTTGTCACAGTTGAAATGTATTGACAGGTAAACATGTAAAGCAAAGTTTGTTTTGGTGAATGAATAGCTTGAAGAACCACTTTCGACACAAGTGTGCGTTTTGGCGAAAGTACGGAGGCAAATCTTTCACTAGCTCATTTTAACCAAATGGTCATGGCTAGAAGGGATACAGCTTTTGTCAAATGAACATCAAAAGTTTAAATGAGTGTGTTGAAACACTAACACTTTTCCTAACCTTATCCAAATTCTCCAAACCTGCTACGTTAATTATCCTAACCTGCTGCTTATGTTCTAACCTGCTACGAAAAGTCAAATATGATGTTCATTCGACCAAAGCTCGATCCTTCTAGCCATGACCGTAGCAAAAAGTGTCTATTATATTGAGAAGCTAGTCAAGAAACGCTCTAAGAACAGAAATTACATGTCCTCAAAGATGGAAGGGTCCGTGCTATCTGGAATCCTTGAGACGTCCCTACCCCATTGAAGTTGAAATGTAAAGGTGCTACACATAGGATTGGCTGTGAAATTGACCTATTGATTTCTCCCGCTGTCTGCTGTCAAAATAGGAACGCTGTTCCGACTTTGTGGATGTGTTATCTAGTGGAAATAGCTGTCATTTCCTGGTTGCTAAAATTCTATTGAAAATATATTTCACAGCGATTTAGATGGTACAATGATTCCCTACAATATTCAGTGCTTGTTTTCTCACATCAACTGGATTTGAGCGAACAGTGTAGAATTTTTGCAACCAGGAAATGAGCGATTTCCACAAGTTAACACAGCTACAAAGTCAGAACAGCTTTCCCAGTTTGACAACAGATGCCACTCCCGCAAGAGAAATCAATAGGCGAATATCACAGCCAATCACAACACTGGCGGGTAAGTAATAGTGTGAAACACTATCATTACACTATTAGCGGCAGTTATATTATGGACATTTTCAGAAATTACAATGCAAAAAAAATTAAAATAATAATCCTATGTGTAGCACCTTTAAAAGGGTTAGGGTAGGATTTAGGGTAGGGACGTCCCAAGGATACTAGATAGCACTGACTGAGATGGAATGCAGGCGGGAGGAGGCGAGATCAGGTGGGACCATTCTAGCCAATGAGAGGGCAAATAAACATGTGAACAACAGGCCATAGAGACAGAGGACTCATCTTTGTATCTGTGCCATTATAGCGTCTGTGACAGCATGGGCAGCGCCATTGAGGCTATCTCTATTTTAAAGTAGTACATTTTCTTCTTCTTCATTGGCTGATTGCTCCCTTCTTCATTGGCTGATTGCTCATTGGGATCTCCACCCAGTTTACTACTTTAAAATGGTGGAAGCCTGCAAGGGTAATGGAGAAAGGCAGGTTTGTATCATCAATTACATGAGGCCCATTGTTTAGCTTAGCAACAATCACAAAGTGTAAAGAAAGCTTCAGAACGTTGGAAAACCCATTCACTTACATGTCTTTTTCTTGAAAATAACATGCTATATTTTTAGGCTTAGTCGACTTTGGGTAAAAACGCAAAACTAACGTCTTTAAGCTGTATAACAGATCAATGCATCATCATACCAGGTCATGTAATGCTTAAAAACAAAATAAATGGATGAATAAGATATTTGGCTACAGAAGTGCCATTTCGTATTGTTTTTTTTACAGCTTCTATCCAAAAACAAATCCTGTGAAATGATGTCAACACATACTGGAGGAGATAGTGGCTAGCTACAGTGGCTAGCTTAGCTAACGAACTAGAGATACGTCAGTCGCGGCGCGCATGACCAGAATGACGCATCCATGAACCACCAAAGAGGCGGCGTTGGACCGTTTTGCGTGCCCAAAGTCGACCATTAAATCGTTTTCATGCCATCTTAACTGGCTGTATAAAATATCCTTTACTACAGCACTACTAATATCTAACTTCGACTTGAAGAATATATTTTCTGTACTATAAACATTTAGCTAGCTAACTGTCCATTGCTAGCTGGTTGGATGGGCAGCTAGGCAGGTTGGTACTGCATAGCTAGCTAGCATTACAGATCGACAAACAAGGTACAAAATATTATGCAGGCTAGATAAAGCTAGCTTGCAACCTTAGCTAGCTTGCAACCTTAGCTAGATGGGTTATGTCTTTGGGCTGCTTTAAAGTTGTGACGTTCAAAATGCTCAACAGCTAGCATCAGCTTGATCACTCACTTTCGGACGTGCAGTCCATCCCGACTGTAAAACGTATGTTTAGGTTATTCTTACCTGATCTGTCATCGACAACAGCTGGCTCGGGTCTTTGAATTGCACAAAGTGGTGATGTCATTTTCTCATCAATATTTTTGGATTTATGATGATGAAAAGTGAAACTGCTTCTGCTATATATCTAGCTAGGTATACATCAGTGGAGGCTGGTGGGCTTCATGATGGCAAAAAAAAAGTATAAGGTTCTTGAACATTTTCCTTCAAGAGTTATTACACTTCAAAAAATGAGAAATTGAATATTTAAAGAGGATTTGGGTTAGAGAGGCCTATGCTGCCACCTACTGTAGTAACAGCAGAGGTGTAGGCATCCTGATAAAACAATTATACACCATTTTCCCTTATATCCCAGCACATGGACCAAGAAGGACATTTTAAAATTTAGAATTGTACCTTACATGGTGAAAAATACACATTGATTTCATTGTATATCCCACCAGGGGCAAATCTGGTGTTTTTAGATAGAATTCAAGCTATATTAGATCAAACCCAGACATGAACTACTATTGTAGCAGGAAACCTAAATCACACCTTCGGCAAGTTAGCAATAAAAAAGGCAAATTCAAGGAGCCGCCAAAGAGGCTGAAAAATGTAATCTCTACAAATATTTTACAGGACACCTGGAGATTACTATTCCCAACTACAAAAGCCTACTCCTTTTTTTTCTCAAAGTAAGAAAAGAAAGCTATTCAAGAATTTACTAAATTTATATTTCCAAAAATACACTCAACAATATACTGGGTTAAAAAAAACATGATATAGTGATTACACCAACAGAAAATACACTTAGCGACAGAATATGGAGAATGAACAGAGCAAGTCTTCAAGACCTGAAATTTATTAAAGACCTTAACGAAAAAATTAAGAGCTTTACCATTACAAATGTAGACAAAGAGGACAGAGAGTGCTGCAGAGATGGTTGTCCTTCTGGAAGGTTCTCCCATCTCCATAGAGGAACTCTGGAGCTCTGTCAGAGTGACCATCGGGTTCTTGGTCACCTCCCTGACAAAGGCCCTCCCCCGTTTGCTTTGTTTGGCCGGGCGGCCTTCCAAAAGGACAACCATCTCCGCAGCACTACACCAATCAGGCCTTTATGGTAGAGTGGCATGGTGGTGGCAGCATCATGATGTGGGGATGTTTTTCAGCGGCAGGGAATGGGAGACAAGTTAGGATCGAGGGAAAGATGAACAGAGCAAAGTACAGAGAGATGAAAACCTGCTCCAGAGCGTTCAGGACCTCAGACTGGGGCGAAGGTTCACCTTCCAACAGGACAATGACCCTAATCACACAGCAAAGACAACGCAGGACTGGCTTTGGGACAAGTCTCTGAATGTCCTTGAGAGGCCCAGCCAGAGCCCGGACTTGAACCCGATCTAACATCTCTGAGACCTGAAAATAGCTGTTGTCGTGACATGATTTTAACATTAATCTGAAGACTGTTATTTCTCTAATTAACTAAATATGTTTAATTGTTACCCGATTTTAAATTAATCATGTAACAATTAACTAATTAGAATCTGGGGCACCACGAGAGTGGTTATTTAAAGAGTTACCATCTCCCGAATAAAACTCTAAAAGGTCTTTACCTATCACATCTAAATTATAAACAGTCAACTTATTAATCATAACCTCGTATCATATCATCATTCTGAACAGTCGTAACCTCCTTCCATCTACAAAAACCAGAGCCTTATGATTCAGTACTACACAAATTGGTTTAATTATTTATTTACTAGCTAATTAAATGGGAACACAGGATAAACATACACACTCTGCACCGGTTATTGACTGGAGTTACTACGCTGAAAACAGGTCCCTAGCGGAATGACAACAACATGGCTGCCTGTTAAAGAAGCGATGGAGAGGGAGAGGGACAGAGACACTTAACCTTGATACATTCAGAAACTACTCTCACCTACAGTACCCATATACTTTGCACACGAACCGCTGCCCACTTTGAGTAAGAAATCATGAATGTATTTACGTGAAATGCCTGGGTTCGCCGGAGATCTCTCGGTGGACAGGGCAGCCTTGGAAAGGGGGTTGGGCCTTTTCGCGGCACGCTGGTAAGGCTCTTATTGTCCGACATGGTTCCAACAGTCTTCTACTGTTGTCCTTCTTCATAGTTGTTCGGTATCCGGTAACTTGTCATGTAGTCCTGAACAGAACTACAGAATTGATTTTCCTTCCATTCACTCTTGAAGTTGTTTCTTTGAAGATAGGCTAGCCAACCGTATTGATGGTTCCCCAGTGGGGTGATGAGAGTAGCGTAATACGATGGTTTGAGCAGAGTAGCAAATGGTCCTACTTAAATTAGCTTTAGAAGATACCTTACTTAGGACAGCTAATCAGCCGTACCAGTGATTGTCCGGGAGGTGAGTTTATTTTCTTCACCTCGTGTTGAGATTCAAAGTTCCAACCATTTTAAATGTGTAGCTGCCGCTTTACGCTTTTCTGGTTGAATGTGTTCATTCGTAACCCATCATTTATACCTTCTGGTCGAAAGGGGCGGTTCTGGCAGGCTGGCACGCTTTCTGACCTCACTTTGGGGCGGCGATTACTCACTGTGCAAAGTTAGATAAAACAATTATCTCTTATAACTTCTCAAATCACAACCCTCTCTTAACAAAAACACTTCCATCATTTTTCATATTACATGCACAATGCATAGTATGGAGACTAAATATAATGTATGTAGTGGGTATACTTTCCAAGTTACAGTATTTCCTTTATAACATTTTTAATGACATCACAAAATAACTAACAAAATGACATTAGTGTTCTATAGAGCGCCTCTGACCATTCCCCACGTTCTACGTTAGAAATATTGTTCCAGTATTCGCTTTTGAACGTGTTAGAGTTTCAGCAGGAAAAAGTCTGTTGAAACAAAGAACATTCCTTTGGTGAATCTTGAGAGGGAGAGCCTTGATCTTCTCACTTGATTTA